CGTGATCTGCCATTGAATCCCATGCGATTGGTCTGGTGCTGCTGCTCAAGTTTGATAGACATGAAACAAGATTTGGATGGACTTCGTCGTGAGGAACAAGGCCAACCATCGAAAGACGACGCTTACGAACGGATAACGACAGTCCTGTTCTGTTGCCACCCGGAGTGTCTGGTACAGGACACAATCTACGTGCAGGCTCTCTCTTGGGGCCTTTGGCAGCGCCCTTGTGTTGGCACGCGGCGGCCAACGGCACAAGATATGTGCGCTAACACCGTCAAGCACAAAAACTGCACAAACGGTGTCCTTTTTGACCATGTGATCTGTCTCTGGCTACATCGCCAGAAAGTTGAGGCAACGTTCCTCTCAATTCGCAGCCCAGAGAGGCAAACGTCGCGGCTAAAGACGGCGCAGGGTGGGCCTTACGCAGTAGCTTGGGGAAGGGGCCGAGGAACCATGTCGGTGGCTATCCAGCGTCGCTGCATTCAAGCCTTTCAAGAAATGTCTCTGCAGCTACTTCGGGCATCGGGCCACAGACCAGGAGCTTCACAGTGTCAGGAAGATCAGCTGCTGGAGCGCCCGAGGATCTTGGGCCTCCCTGGCCGGAATTCGGCCCTGTGTGAACGAGTGGCAAAGACTTGACCAGCGCGTGGGCCGCATGCTTTTGAGAATGAACGCAAAGGCTCCACGCAGCAGCGAGCGTCAGTGGGCTAGAAAACTCCTTGTTTCTCCACCGAGGTGGGGGAGTGCCTCCGTCCCGTGCGCCGCCCTTCTCTTCTGGTAGTGGCCGCGCTCCACAGCATCCACTATCTCCCCCGGTTCCGGGTACGCTTTCTCGGTTTACTAATACAACATCACGTCCGTGTGCTCAACGTCAAGAAACAGGACCGCCACCACATGAGGGCTGTCTTGGGCGTTTGTCTGGTTTCAAGGGCTTTCTGTATGTATGTCAAGGCGGGCAAGAAAGAGTAAGAGGTGACCGGCATTGTTGACTGACACACTAGGGAAAAACAGGCCAGATGACAGAGTCCTGACACGGTCTGCTCAAAATCCAACCGTGTAGTTTTGGCAAATGTGGTCCCAAAAGTACACAGTTAGTACACACATTGGCACAGTTTCAACCGTGTACCCTCACACAACTGTGTATACTACACGGTTTCCTAGAATGCACGGTTAAAACTGTGTCAGTGTGTGTACTAAATGTGTACTTTTGGGACCACATTTGCCGAAAGTACACGGTTGGATTTTGGGCAGACCGTGTCAGGACTGTGTCATCTGGCCAGTTTTTTACTAGTGACAGCGAGTACCGCAGTACTAATTATACCTTCCACATGGAAGAATTGCAGCGTTACGATTTTAGTCTCGGCATTTTTCTCTCACAGCGGCTTTTTGCTTTCGCCACTCCACATCGTGTCTGGCGGGCGAATGTTGGGCAATACAACCACCTGGTCTGCTGCGCAGGTTTCAGGTGCAACTGACCTTTCTATTGGCTCCTATGTGCGTGCATCGTGCGTCCCAGGCAGGGGGCTCACAAAGTGCTTAGACGCAGTACATTCTGCGCATATCTGTGTATTCTGCGTACATTCTTCATATTCTGCGTAACAGGCGCTATTTTATTGGCGTCCTTAGCGCTATTCTAGGGCATTGTTCCATTGGCTGTTCGCAATATTTCGACATCGTTACACCCCTTATTATTGCTCTGCACAAAACGGCCAAGTGTTATGTTAGGATGCGGAAGGTCTGATATACTCTGATATGCTGGAAGTAATACAGCAGTAACGGCTTTGAATGATATGGGAATGCTTGGCAGTTCTGAAGAAGAGGACAGCAGATGAAAGCTGACAGGGCGTGGACGAAGGCATGTGAAGGGGCCACAGTCCGGGAGTGATCGGTGAGAAAGCTGTCAGGTGAATCCCCCTTTCCTCGATATCGATCAAGTATGGGCTGAAAAGGACATATATGGGCCCCGTCCTGGATATGCATATCCACCACATAGTAGTGATATCTTGGATTTGCATATCTGATATACAGATCCATATACTATGTCAAAGACAAACAGCTATTTCCCGAGGGCGTGTGTGAGCACACACCCATACGGGGCGTAGTCCAAGAGACCCGTACAAATGAAAGTCTTTCCTGGTGTTGTGATGGGACGTAACTGAACACAAGAGAGGCAATAGCAAATGGGCATGTCCTGCAAGTAAGCAGGGAAATCTTCCTGATTTGTGTTCCAGCATGAAATGCAAAGCGCAACAGGTGCAAGGATTGTGGATGCAAAAGCTGCGGAGCTCGCAGCGTTCTCATTCAACTACACCACTAAAGTAGTTTCCTGACAAGAACGGTTGCAATGCGTTGTCGAATTGCAGTTCTATAGCCGACAATGGCCCTGCTGCAAGCGCAAAGAAGGCAGCGACCCAAAGGGCTGCCTTCAATGATTTGATCATTACGTCGGTGTCGAGCATGTGTTAAAACTGTGTTTGGTGTCGAGATGTGCTATAACTCAGTCCCCAGACCGACCAGGAGTAAACATTGCGTGCACCCGCTCCCATAGCCAGAAGATGAGCAGGACGTGACCCAATTTATTAACCTGGAGATCCTGCAGAAGCAGCGCCACTGCGTGAACCGGAAGGCAACTGCTGCGATGGTAAGAACGTTCCGTGGCAGAATCAGTGTAAAGCAAGCTTGGGAAATGCGGTGGCTCTCATTCAAAGTACATAAGAATACGCATACAACGGAAATATTAAAACTCGTATTCCTTAAAGCGTAATCTAGAAGAATTCTACCAGATGTCATTCAATATGGCGAATCAATGGCTGTGACCAGCGGCCTGCATCCCAGGGTGTTGCGACCTGCACGCACCACAACTGGGGAGTTGGGAGCTCCGTGAGTGCGGCACAGAACGAGCGACGATGGTGAAGGCCCCAAACCCAGGTGAAAGGACTTCGCAGATGTCACAAACCAGCGAGATACGTGCATGCATCGTGGCATTATCGTGACGGGTAGCGGTGAACGCTGGTATTGCCATATGGCCGGTATCATCGGGTCTGGGGTTGCCGTGGAAACGTGCGAGACGCCCTGAGGGTGAAGATGACACACTTGCAGGAGCTGCGCCATGAAAAGAAACGGGACAACGAAGTCACAAAGGCTGGCAACTGTGGGCGAGGCCGAGACAGGTTGGTTGGACACGAAGACAGACTGCTTGAATTTGCATGTCGTCGAAGTCGTAATTGCAAAAACTTATGCTGTAGTTTACACGTACTTTAGACCCAACAGAAACTGCGCAGCAATACAAGTACTTTCCCAGCCACGCTTCTAAGCCGCATCCGTATTATTTAAGGTTGGTGTAAAGCATATGGTGCTCCCCGGGAAAGACAGACTGGACACCAGCACACATTTCACCTAGTACGATCAGGCAAGACTGTAACCAAGGTATGCAGGGCTGTACAATTACTATTGGACAGGCCCGGTCCAGACCCGGTCACAAGAACTTGTGAACATGAAGACTGGAGCGGACAACCAGAAGCATCATTGCATTTGACTGGCTGTGAGTGAAGAGATGAATATGACCAACTAGAGCGATCTAATTCACAATTGACAGTAGTTGACAGTGCCACCAACCAAAACTGCAGAATTTCTTGGAAGGTCTATCACTCTGGCGCGCCCTTCCCCTCTCCTTGCAGCCGGTCACAGAGTAGACTTACATTCTGCTGCCAACTTGTTTGGTTCAAACTAAGTTCAACAGTGTCTGGCTGAATGCATCACCCCTCTCAACATTGAGCAGGAATCCAACCATTGTAGCGATGAGTGGCACTTAATACAACTTGAGCAGCTGCACAAGCGATTCCGCGGTCTGGCACTGGTCTGCAGCTGCAATGGCACAAGTACTGATACATTCGTCCAAATATCTGTCCCCTGCAAACCAACAAGGATAATGGAGCAGTAGCAACTTCCTCGCAATGGACATGGATGCCAAACTCCCTGGTTGGGAACCTGAGAATATCAGATGTGAACAGCTGCACAGTTGTGTGTAACTGTGTGCTCCCGAACCACATAGCTTCCAAATTGGAGCACAGCAACATCTGTAGGGATTCGCCCACAGGGCAAGCGTGATGTCTTTGCATATAGATTGCCATTGTGCAAGAAGGAAGTGCACTGAAGCCCATCCACGAATTCGCCACAGTACCCTTTGGTGCTAGTCCCAATATCCCTTAACGTCAGAAACGTGTGAAGATGCAAAAAGATGTGTTGGAACAGAAAAGGTGCCAACTGCAGAAAAAAATATGCTGGCACATGGGAGTGGAATTTGTGTACAACACCGACGCGTTGCCATGAGATGTCCCCCGAATATGAGCAAGGCTGGGCAACTTGCTTAGCAATATTCGCTCGAAGCAAAGGGAAAGGACTGGTTCATTCCCCTTTTCCTTTTCATGCCATTGACTGAACATGCGATACCACACTGATCCAGACTGCAGACAGGTAATCGTGTGGCAGGAATTCATGCCAGAATTTGAACAAGATATGTGCCACCATATTTTCATGCAGCAGCACAATGCAAGGGCAGATGTCGCTCAGGAACTTGCAAGGTGAAGATATCTGACAAGATAGTATTGCAGCAAAAGCACAATATCCCATGTTGAAGTTACCCCTTGGTGGTGGAAGGGCGTAACATCCACCTGCCGATTGCATGCAGAGGCCTCGGGTTTATGATGGCACTTCAAAATTAAACAGATAACAAAGGCATCCCAACCGGCTGTCCCAGGGCATCGTCTCCAGAGTGTCCATTGGCCAAATCCTGGGCTGCAAATGACAATCAAGATGCCACACCAACCAGAGATGCTCTTTGCTTGCATCAACACCCAGCCATCAGATGTTGTATGGGGGCTGCAGCCTGTCATGGTAGAATAGGGGAACCAACAGTCGCCATCATGTCTGGAAACACAATTCATAGCTGGACCAGAGTACTCCTTAACACCCACCCTGCCAAGTCAATTGCTCCATCCTTTTCAAAACAGACCAGTGCGCCTGATGCCCCCGACGATCAGAGTGAGGCCAGACGAAAAGTACGCCAGCATAGAAATGAGGGCCCCAGGAAACCGTTTGTTAGGGTTACCCGACTTGTAGCCCTCGAAGTAGATGAACCTACCCACTGGCACACGCCAATAGCTTGGTCACGAACAGTCAATGCTCGGCACACTTGGATTTCATGCAGGACCGGGAAGATACACAGCCCGTTAACTGTCCTGGAACTGGGCGGAGATCGCAAGGGCCGTCGCCGGCCAACAATCACGCACCAGGTGGACAAGACAGACATGGCGAGACATTTGAAGCCATGAAACTGGAAAACGCAAGATTGCGGCCACTCGCTTTCTGCCTTTCGCGTTACTGGCGCCTGGGAGTGCAGCGCAACAACGTATCGAAATCAAAGGAGGGAAACTTACCTGCATACACAGTCATTAGGGAGGCTGCGGTCAAGGGGTGGGCGAGTCCCAACACCCCGTTGGACACCATGGCAATCGGGGCTGATTCCAGCGTGTTCTGATGCGCTCTCTGGGTGCAGTTGAATATCTTGGCGTCTGTCGAGTCGCCTTCCATGTACATTTTTGGATACTCCACCCCGTAGCGTTTCCGGGCCTTGGACACCCCAATGGCCATGTACTGCACCAGGAACGCCGTCCCCGCGATGGACGCCATCACGTAGCCATACTCCGACGGCAGCTCCAGTCCCATGCCGCCCGGCGCCCGTCGCGATGCCGCGACGATATCAACCCGCTCGATACCTCGCCCGCAATATCAACCAGCTTGGGCTCCGTTTGGACCTCTGGCGGCATGGGATTGGCCTTTACGTTTGCGGCACCATGTTCACGTTTGCGTGCGTTCGTTTTACGTCATTGCGCGTAAAAACGAGTGAGCACAGAAACGACCATTTTTGAAACGGCTCTGTTTACGTACTGCTTACGTACTTTTACGGCGCGCTGAGACCCCAGGCTCCATGATAAAATCGCAAACAATGATCGGTCGGCAGCCCCTTTGAGTGCCCGCAACACAGCTTCCTCCTTCCCCATGGCAAGGGGAACGACGTCGTCGAACAAAAGGTCGTTTTCTGCCCACTCCAGCACGTCTGGCTGCCACTGCCCGAGCTTCCTGAGTCTGCATGTGCTGTCCATATGTACACAGAGCCTGCGTTTACGTAATTTTTCGCGTTTTGTCGCTTGAAACGTAAGTCTTACGTTCTAATTGAAAATTCAATATAATTTTTACCTTTTCAATTAATTCACTTGCAAATACGCAAATACAAGCTGTGCTTACACCATAGAAACACCAAGCCTGACTGTGCATAAGTAACACAATGGATCATTGTTACTATAAAATAGCAATAAGAATTCAATGATTAGTGTTGCGATGGGACAAAAGCCCCCACAGGGCATACGGACCTCCTGGCTGTTGAGTTCAGGAGTGGGCCGAACCGAACAGTGTTTCTTTCATTCTGAGCGGAGCATTGTAGCTCAAATCAGGCATTGATGCAGCAATATGTCAAATGAACTACTAGCTCGTTTGGCACAAGTTAGTGACGTCTGCACAAGCACGTTTGGGACCTCAATTTTGCCAGTGATGGGAGTTTGCAGCCCGTGCAAGAGCACATGGAGAAATTGTTGTGCTATTTCCGTTGCCATGGCATTGATGCAGCAGCATCTTCGACAGAATCGACGAAGTACGCATACTGCGACACTCGCGTTTTAATGAATATTTCTTTGTCCTGATCTACCGGCCCTCGTCTGACACCAGCCCCATGTCCAAGTAACGCCATGAATTCACTATTCCCAACAATTGAAACCTCTGACTTGCCGGCTGAGACCGGCCGACGGATCGGTCTACTGTTGTGCAGGGCCCGCCTCAGTCGCCATCTTGCACCCTTGTATTTTCACATGTGGCTGTACAACCACACGACTTCCATGGTAAGCTAGCTGGAACAGACCGCAACGGGACCGAGCAAAGATGTGCAGCAAGGCAGTGGCGGTGCCCTTGGTTCTCCTTTTGCTCCTGTGGACCACAGCGGTGAGACACTGACTTTGGCACTCAGCAGATCGGCGTCCTGTTATTCATACAGTGGAGGGAACGTGCGTGGGGACGGCGCTGGAGGGCAAGTAAATTCGCTTGGTCACTTTTGGAGAGGCACGCAGGCGCCAATGCTTTTGCCGCAGCAGCTAGGTCTTTTTATGAGCGACTGGGTGGCTTGTGCAAAATTGAAGGGGTCAGGCAGGGCGCCATGGCGAATGTCTTACGGCGCTTTCGGGTCAGTTTGACCGATGCGTTCGACAAATAATGCGGTTGCCCACACTTTTAAATGTCGCGCTTTGCTGCCAAAATGTGCAACGACAGGTCTTTCCCCGATTCCATGCGCGATCATGCGCTACCAATGGTCTGAGAAATATTTCAACATCAGATCTAGCAACTTCTTATTCGCATCGTTTTTACCACGGGGGCCCACCCGGACGCTTAAATGCGATTTGATGTGGTGGAATTAAAGTAAAGATCGGACTCAAACAATTCTTATTTTTTCTCTATGAATCCCTGGTAGGCAGCTGCTGAATTTCAGGTAGTTCCTTCGGCCGAAATGATACTGAATCGCTCAAACAATAGTGCAGTTTTGTGCCGTTGCTTTTGCTTTCATTTGAACATACTCCATTGAAAGAAGTTTTATTTATTGACACGTTTCAGGCGATGGTGTGCAGTTGCTTGGAACATCGCTTCCCCTCAGGAATTGCACGCAATGATCACCACCATCGAAAGTGGTATTGAAAGTGGAGGTCAAATGCATCCTGTTAGCCACGAATTAGAAATTCATTTTTGATCCGCAAATTCTGTAGCGCATATGACACATCAATTCTGCAAATGCGAGCTATGGCTCCCTGCTCGTAAACGGGGGATCATGGTGTTTATTTTGTATCATGAAAAGCGTGCTGAAATGCAAGAGTCTAGCCAGTGGCCCTCAATCATTATTTGCTATTGGCATTGCCATCCCACGAGTAATATTTGAAGCAGCCACCCGAATTACCTAGTGATAGCCACTTTGGTTCTCCTCTGGAACTGCTGCCATAATTTGGAAACAGGGTTAAACTGAAATATACGAATCGCCTGCTTTAGGAAAGTCACAGGTTGCCGTTAAACTGACGATGAGAAGATGCGGAGGCTGTAAAATCATGCAGGACGAGGGATCGCAGGAATGCACAAGGCGGCTAGCAATCACTAAACGTGTCGTTGGACATCCATTATTATAACAGAATGCTACCTGATATCTGGAGCAACAAGGAGTTGAAACGCAATTTGCGGCGAAAATAGAGAGATGGCAATATTGTGGTTCAGAATTTGTCAGCTACGCATGGTTTTACTCCCGATAGGAAATGAATCCATAACGCAATCGCAAAAATTGATGAATACAGGAAGCACATGCGAAAAAGACCACTTCTACAGCCTCGCAAAACGACAAGCAGGTCTGCAGCATCGGCGACTTCAACGTAGATTTCCTAAGGCCGGAAAGGAGCATCGAAAACCCTCTGCGTGTGCGGCTGCCTCTGTCGGTCCTGTTTTCGGCCGTTCTGCCGGAGGAGGCCACTGCCGCAGCCCAGTTCAACTTCGCTTGCTCGGTTGGCGCCGAGCCGGGCATGCACAGAAGCGGAGCCATCTCTCGTCGAGCCACCTTGGGTTCTTCTCCATCAGTCGTCGACTGCGACATCGAAGTGAACAACGACAACGACTGTCAGTGGAATGTGATAACGGTGGAGGCCAGCGCGGTCATTCCGTCTTCTCTTTCGTACGACGGCTGCGAGCGCCGGACGACTCGAACTGCCCGGTACTGCATGGGAGAGCTAACTGTGGACGTGCCAGCCCTGCCCCAGCCAGATTTCGTCAGCCCTCATTTAGGATGCGCCATCGATGAATTTGACTTCCAGCTGAACGGCGCGATTGCGGATGCCCAGGAGCCTCTCTTGGTACAGCAGAAACTGCAGTCTCTCGGGCAATGCGGCACTGGCGGGGATCTCTACCATCCAAGGATTTGAGCAATTGTAAATAGTTAGTAGATTTGTTCAGTGCAGATGCCGGTGGCGCAATGCTGGCTGTCGACGCAGATGAAACACCCAGATTCAATCATTACAAGAAGTATTCATAAACAATAGATGGATCCCGAACTTCTAACTAATGCGTTTGGATCTGATATTCATGCAATATCCAAAACACAAAGCATCTCGAACCGCCGCAATCATCCTTTCGTACAGCTGAGAAACTGCAGGATAACATTATCATCTGTCAATCGGTTGTGCTAAGGACTCCATGATTTTAATCTTCTGAATGCTTTTTGTACTTTCGTCATGTTTTAAGTCGCTCTTGTCCTCCGACTAATACAACCATTCTCCATACCATTCTCTGATCGAAAACATGACTGTGTCGAACTCTTATGTGCGAAGATGTCTGTGACGCGGGTGTAAACTTGCCATTGACCTCAGGTAACCTTCCCGGTACATGTGCCCTTTTCCGTGTCTCCCCCGGACCGCGAGTCCGCCGCCAGATTTGAGTTTGAATGTAGCGTCGGCTCCGAGCCTGGACTGCTGAGGCCTGGAATCATCAAAAATCAAAGGGCGGCTCATGGGGGCTACGATTTCGACTGCGAAATTCTTGTCAACAACGACAACGACTGCCAGTGGAACTTCGTGGTTGTGGACGGCGCGGCATCTGTACCTGCCACCGTGGATTCGGGCGGTTGCGATGCCAGAGCAAGAACGACGACCAATTATTGTAAGGGACAAATTAGTCCTCCGCCGCAGCCCGTTGCATGCGAAATCCGAGATTTCAATGCTCAGATCCTGCCCCCCAGGGTGCCAGATCCCAGGAATCCAAAACAAGTGGCATTCCCAGTCGACGTGCTCTTTGGCAACGTGAGTCCGCCGGACGCTAAGGGATTGGCCATGCCGGACTTCCGCTGCCAGATAGGCAACGTGGCGGGGCTCATTGACAACGGGAGAATAATGAATCCCAGGTCCACAGCGACAGGCTACGCCTTCGAGTGCGAATTTTTCGTGGAGAGTTTGGACGATTGCGACTGGAACTTGGTGACCGTGGAGGCTGCCGTCACCATCCCGCAGTCCGGCGCCATCCAAGGATGCGGGCGGAGGGCCATTGCCACCACCAACTACTGCACGCCTTCCCAGACATGCGTCATAGGCGACTTCAACATCGATGTCGTGGAGGTGAAGCAAAGAGGAGGGTATCCCGCGAAGCTCGAGGCGGATCTCTTCATGCTCTACGGGGGTGTGCAGCCGCCGGATCTGACACAGAAGGCCGAATTTGATGTCAAGTGCGCCCTGGGTGGGGAACAGGGCGTGGTGAGTCGATTGCAAGAGGCACCGATGGGCTTCAAGCTGTCCTGTGAGGTGGACTTGCATCACCCCAACGACTGTGAGAACAGCGTTCTGGAAGTTTCGGCGAGCGCCAAGATCGAGGAGAATGGCGGCGCCATAGCCTGTCAGAGGGAGGCCGTAACGGACGTCGACTACTGCGTCGAGGAGACGCTGCCGGAGCCGCCTGCACCTCCGCTGCCCAAGAGCCACCCTGGATGCGTTCTCGACGACTATTGGGTCCGTCACATGTTGCTGAACTTCCGGATTGAGTTTAGGCAGACTGAAAGGACCAAACCAACATTTGGCGGCAAAGGACATGACCGCATTTTCCAGATC